GGAAGGCAAAGACAGAAAATAAATGACCTAAAGCTATGAGCAATTTTCAGTATATCATGATAGAAATTTAGTGGCTAAAGAAAAATCTCCTTTACAAAGCAGGATGCTTATTTGTGGGGCATTGTCCTCAACCAGCCACCCTTGCTATATGTGATATAGTGGCTAGAGCATTGGACTAGGACATTAGAGATTGGGGTTCTATTCCCTGCTTGACCATGGAAATAAGGTTGCCATACTTCTCTTCCACAAAACCAGGACAAAAGTATCATCGGCCCGCCATATCCACAGAGGTTTTTATCCATGGATTTCAGCATAGAAAATACAGTCATCTGTCCCTGTTTGCGGTGGTGGTGGTGGTGTTCTGGATCTCCCCCCCCCCATGAAATAGAAAAAATACAGATATTCAAGCACGATTGACTATAATGGTGGTGCATGCGCACCACAGCACGAACACCATTTTGTCCCTCTGGCTTGCTGTCTGCGGAAACTCAAAACCAAAATGAGAAGTCCGCAAAGGGTGAGGGACCACTGTATTTTCAAAATTTATAAATTCCAAAAAGCAAACCTTGATTTTGCCATTTTATATCAGGGACACCATTTCACTATGCCGTTCCATTTAATGGGACTTGAGCATCCACGGATTTTGGTATCCACAAAGGATCCTGGAACCAAACCCCAGCAGATACCAAGAGTCCACCAAATATGAGACTGGATTGGGTGGGTTATCAACAAATAACACAAACTCCCTCACATTTTAACATTTAACATTGTTTTATTGCATATTTCAGTTGTATTATTATTAGCATCATCTTCATCCTCATCAAAACAGAAAGAAAGAAGAAAAATCAGAAATTATTCCAAATCAAGATATTAATGCACTAATTTAATGAAAGTTTGCCTAACATTTCCCCTTCCCGCCACCCACAGGACTTCAACAATGGCAGACATACAAACCCAAACAAAAACCAAGAGGTAGATTTTTTTCTAGTACTATAAAGAAGTGTTTGCAGGGATGGGGAGGGATAGCTCTGCCAGCTGAATTTTTGCCACAGGGCTCTAGCATGAATAGAAAACAAGGCAACTTTTTTCTTTGCTTATTTGTTTGCAGTGCATACACAAAAGCAACTCTTCCTGACGGATTCCTCCTTTTCTGACTTCTGTTTTGGACACATTGGCTTTAGTTTTCCAATCTGGGTGCAAGTTCAGAATGACAAAAACAGCAACCTGTCCTTCACAAGCTAGCAAAAAAAGAGAAGTCTCCAGCTGCTGGAGGACAAAAAGAAACGGAGATATCAAGATTTCATTTTCACAATATGACTCTTCCACTTTGTAGGCGAGGAGAGAAAACTGGGACTCAAAGCGGCTTACAGTACAAGGAAAAACATACAATGGTGATCCACTGAAATAGAATTTAATTATTACAACATTTAAACTTTTAAACCAATTGCACTGCAGAGGGGCAGGATTGATTCTGGTCGCGGCAGCCGTAATTCCTGAAGATGCCCGGAAATCAAAAGAGCTGCAATGATGCAGGGATGATGCAGTGATGATGCAGGGATGGGCGGGGTTTGCCGCAACGTTGTCTGATCCCAGGATCCAAGGATCCGGAATGATGCAGGGATGATGCAGCGATGATGCAAATATGGGCAGGGTTTGCCGCGATGTCATCTGATCACAGGATCCAAGGATCCTGAATGATGCAGGGATGATGCAGCGATGATGCAGGGATGGGCGGGGTTTGCTGCGACGTCGTCTGATCACAGGGGCAAAAGATCCGGAATGATGCAGCGATGATGCAGGTATGGGGCTGCTTTAGACCCAGTGTGATAACGTCCATTGATTGGAACGGGGACTACAGTCAGGAAATGAAAGAACTAGAAAAGATCCTAAAATGCAAAGATATACAACTCAGCACAAAAGTCAGAATCATACAAGCCATCGTATTCCCTATTACCGTGGATGGATGTGAGAGCTGGACAGTTTAAAAAGACGATAAGAAGAAAATCAACTCCTTTGAGATAATATGGTGCTGGAGAAGAGTGCTGAGGATCCCATGGACAGCCAAAAGGACAAACAAATGGGTCCTAGAACAGATCAAGCCAGAGATATCACTAGAAGCCAAGATGACAATACTTATTCCGGAATGGTGCTGGATTGATTCCAGGCAGCTTTTCTTGCCGCTTTGAGACCCCTGGTGTGATAATGTCCAATGTTTGATCCCAGGTATGGGAATTCTTTTACTATTTCTATTTCTTCATTGGACATTATCACACATAGGCCAGTTTTGTTGTTAAAGAGATAATAAAGTGGAAATGAAGCATC